AGTCTCATTTTCTCTGGGATTCCCTGTTGAGCACGTCCGTCAGCTTGAACGTTGATCGGAAACATCTCGATTGGATCTACCTTGCAGGCTGCGCTGCTCGACCAGCCAAGCTTATATCAAGCCCGTGCTCAACGTCCCATGAGAAATTGACTCCTTTTCAATGGGGAGAAAAACTGCAGAGGTAGGTTTAGATCATATAATGAAACAGAGCGTACTGCACTGTACACCTGGGCAAAATGTTTTGTGGTATTGTGTGGGGTTTCTTTTCTCCACAAAATCTCCGTTTTTGCACGTGCTTATCTTGTTTCTATCATCAGCATCTGAGCTCTATCATCGTGAGCATCCATTTCGACGAAACCGTCATTGTGCAGTCTGGAGCGGCGATCGAAGAACTTGAAGATCCGGCTTGGTATCCCGAGCTGGATTCGATTGATCCGATCAATCGTCGTCAGGTCATGAGGACATGCCCATCGACGGGGAGGGCACGTAGGTGCGGGTATTTGACTGTCGTGCGCGGGAAGAACTCGACGAGATACAAAGTTAAAGGGAGGATAACTGTAATGCGTACCAAAATGGTAGTCAGGGACTGGTTACGTGAGAGGGGGCTGCCTATTTTTGACGCAGAGGATCGGATCAGAATGGAAGATGGTTTCAATGCGAACTTTTCGGTAGTCGACGACCCTACGGAGAGCCTGGATTATGAAGGAAGACCGCCGCCCCCGCAGCAGCCCCAGCGACCGCAGCAGCAGCAAGTTGAGCACGAATTGGGGGGTGGAGCTAGGCACACGGACGATCAGCAGCAGAAGGACGAAATCAGCGACCAGGGCAGTGAAGGACCGTCTGCCGTTTGGGGAATCAATAATTTTTCAGCCATACTGCGGGACTGTCCGCCCATGGACAGTGACGAGATCTGCAACTTGGACCTGAGCAACGACGTGGACCTGATAAACCTGGACGGCGTGTTCGGCTGGAATGACGAGGTGACTTCGCCGTCGTCGCTGCCGCCCGTTGACTTGGGCACGAGGACCCGCCCGTCCGTCGTGCTAGGTCCGCGTCAACAATTTTTGGCCGCATCGATGAGGTACTTCATGCGCGTTGTGGGAAGCGCGAAGAAGCAGTTGAAGGGTTGCAAAGACACGCGCCAGCAGATGTTGCTGGAGTTAATCGGTTCAAACTTGCAGTTGGTGAGGGAAGTTCAACGTTGCATTTTGCAGTAAGAGAGCAGACGGAGTAAAAGCGAGTAAAACTCTGCGGTTTTGGGCGTCACCACGACGAGCAGTCCGAGAGTAGCGAGAAGTATCAAACCCTCTTCGGTATCGTCGGTATGGTTGTATAATATGAGTGAACCTGGTGTAGATATATTTGTATAAACGACTGTGAAAGAACATAGTGTACAGCATCACCGATGGATGAAACTTAAGTAATCCTACTCAATTTCTGTGTACCCTGCTATCTTTTTCCTCTAGCCTAGTACCAAGTCCCTCATACTTCTTGGACTAGGAGCCATCTCTCCGACCCTCTTTTGTTCACCAATGGCAGTTCCAGCACGTCCACCTGTGCCAATCAATTCTAACATGTGCGAGTGAGACCTGCCATTGCCGCGTTTCTGACTTGACTCATTTCATTGTCTTTATACAACATGGCTTCTGACTATTCATTCATGAAGGCCGGACTGCATGACGCACCGAAGGGCATAGACCCTGTGTTCGTCGCCAACGTCGAGGCCCTCGTTTATACACTCGTTGGACATGCGGCAGAGAGCGCTTGCAAGTACGCCAAACACTCTGGCAGGCACAGGGCGAGTATAAACGACGTTTTCTCCGCGCTCAGATATCAAGTGAGGCGTTTCTTGCACTACGACGCTCTGGAAAGGGACGTCAGGAGAACGGCCGAGATATTGGACGCTCTAGCCCAGGAAGACCCAGAAGACACAGCGGAATCGGATGCAGAGTCCGCAAAGTCCGAAGAGTCCGAACATGGCGGCCTGCATGAGGCGTGCCGTTGTGACTTTTGCGGTGCCGTGGAAGCGACAAACGAAAGCTGGAACGCGTGGCAACCGAACGATCCCGCTGAGGCCTTTCACAAGCGCAAGGTTGACGAGACGGTCGCTCGTTTCGCGACCATTTGAATCCCGATACAGGGGCTATAATTTTCGATTGTTGTTGTAGCTCAATGGCACTCCTGTTCAGTGCGCTCACCATCATTGCCATGGCATGCTATAGCGCGATGATAGTCGCATTGATAATCGCAGTGTTGATAGACGACGAAGACGATGATGATTCGCTTTGAGTATGCGACACATTGAAATCGTTGATATGTTACACGAATACAATTTTTGGACCTACGGTCCCTTGTCTCAGAGATCGCTTCTAAACCTGAGTCTTAACTTGAGCTACACGTCTAGCTGGTTTTGAATCTGACGAATTGTCTAGATCGGGTGTATCAAAAGTGCAACAAGGGGGGAATCCCGGAGGGTGATCCGGTGTTCCCATCTTGATTAGCTCTGCCATCTGCGTCTCAAAGATTATGAAGCTTCCCAGGTCCGCAAACATACAGCCGTGTTGTGGAAGACAGCACGAACAACCTTCCCAGGTACAGCCCATCAAAAACCCGTCAACCATCACGTGGTACTGACAGCGTACCGTCCTCCCATCAGCCCTGTCGAAGATGGAGAAGAGGCGTAAGTCAGGAATCTGCACCTTTTTTCTTGCATGGAAAGAGATTCTTGAGACGATCTTTGATGAGTTGAAGATTACCAGAAAGCCTTTACAGTCTGCACCGTAAACTTCCGTCCGTCAAAGCTAAAACACAATTTGAGTCGCATGGCTAGATTGTGTTGTTCACATAGTAGCGCTGCATCATTATGTAACCCCACCTCGCATTTGAAGGGCTCTTGAAGAAGGCATCCAATCCGTCCACGACGGTCCGCGGCTCTAAAAAAGTCCCCTCAGCTTCTTTTGAAGGCATAAAACTGCCAGGCAGGTTGCATGGTGCTTTGGTCGGGAAGCTATTGCCGGTGCTAGACGATGATGAGAAACGACCAGACCTACATGAGCAAGATATGTATTCAGAGGGCTTCCAGAATTCAGAAAACCGGTCCTCCGTACGTGATTATGACGATTCTGTATCAGCCCAGGAGGCCAGTCCAGCTGTTTGACGTGGTATCTATCAGCAAGCTGCCGACTCTACATCAGCTCAGGTGCCCCAGTCCAGCTGTGCTTCCAGCTCTCGGTGCTTCCAGCTCTTTATTACCATTTTCGCCCAAACTGTCGCCCCTGTTATGTAATGGGGGTCACAAGAAAAGGCGATGAATAGCAATAATGCCAGAGTTAACTGGCTATCCCTCAGCCGCCCAGCGTCCTTGGTAGGCAGAACCTGACCAGAGTAACTGGGTACTGAAGAATACTGTTCCTTTTTGTGGACAAATACTGATGCTCCTATGCCATGCCATAGACCTCCAGCCCAAATCCAAGCGACGCTGGTACATTGCACAAAGTGCAATCGCGCTTCAGGGAAGCTCGAAGATGGGCCTTTTGATGGAGGTCTCATACCGTATGTTGACGGGGCACGCTTAGGACAGTACTAGCCACTCTTCCAGTCGGTAACAAGTGATGCTCATAATTAGAACATACAGTACATTCTGAGAATTTTCAAGGGGTTTTAAACGCACATTCAGATCTTCAGGCGTTACATATCTCAGGCGACACTTTCGACGAAAACTGTAATAAAGTGTATCTATCAACCAGCTGCCATAAATACATGCACTCAGAGGAGCAACTGACTGCAGAGCGAACAAGAAGCAGAATCGCTTGCATGGTCTGCTCACCTGGAAGGAGCGTCCCTTGCTTCTTGTTCGCCCCCATCTGCCCAGCTCCGAATAATTGCAGCTGTTTTGGTGTTGAAGACTCTCTCAGCGTTAGCTGTCAGACTCCTTTGGCACCGTTTTTTGGATGGTGGTGGGGGGATCGACTCGATTTGTACAATCCGTGTTGACGTTGGGGTGCTGCATTCCGTCTCAGAGCAGTAGAGCGAAGGAAGACTGGGCTCCGAGGTGCACTGTACTGGAAGCCGGCGGGACCGCTTGCCTAGAGGTGTTTTTGTGCGCGCCATTTTTCTGAAGACCTAAGAGAATGAAATGAGCTCAGGACATGTTTCTATTAATTCACCAACAATCTGAAAACATGTTGACGTCACTGGCACCGCGGTTTTTGCAATGCAAAACCTAATTTCAGTACCGAGCACCGGGGGTACCATACAAGCTGTCAAATTGTACGGAGTATCGAAATTTTCACGTGACTGCCAATTCCGAGGGTTCCACAGTCCGGTGGCTTCAACAAAACCCGCGGACTGCAGGGCGTACCGGCACCGGTGAGTCCCTTCTGGCCCTCCAAATTCAGAACCCCACCCGAACCCTAAATAGAGAAACCTCCTCACCTGGGTCACTGCGGCCGGGGTGTCCAGATTTTACCAGCACTGTTTGCGTCGAGTACGCCTGAAATCCTTATAGTTGAGGATCAGAAACGTGCAGATGCTACGAGGCTCGCTCGGCGCGTCTTCAGGTTGTCCGCCTGGGTCTTGTTCCAACTCGTGTTGTTCTTTCGAATCCGATTGAGAACCCCTTGCCTCTCGAGTCGGTCAATGAACGCCGCATTTCCTTGGAGATATATCTCCAGGCGCTTCTGTGAGAACAGCGTAGGTCTAGCGCTCTTGTCGTCTGAGAATATGCGCGAGAGCTTCGCTTTGAGGCCGCGCTTGTCCGCCTCGCTGGCGTCAGATACCTCGTTATTCGATTCTAAGTGCATAGTTCGAGAACCTTTCGAAGACAGTAGCCAGAATGAGTTCGCGCAGAACTCCGACTCCGCTGGGGAGGTCAGCGGCACCACGGCAGTTCGGCCGCACTCAAAGGTATGGCCGCCGAAGATCCAGTTGCAGTAGACGGCGTTTCCGAGGCGTTCGAAGATTCCCACTTGATGAGAGCCGGTGTCGCAGTCGACGAGGCTGCAAGCACCGGCGTTGGTGGTGATGCGGATCGACGACACCGCCCTGACGCTGGTGCCACCTTTCTCTTGTCGCGACGAGATGCGAGCGATCGTCGTGACCTTCAGGACTAGGGACGAGTCGTCCGCTTCCGGCATCGGCTCTCTGATCCCGAGCCGCACGTCCAGATCGGAGTCGGCACCTTTGTTGGACTTGCCTTGCATCCTCGCGGACAGCGTTCTTATGGTGTAAACGACGGAGCGGCCCTTGAAGTTGTCGTTCTGCGCCTTCGGAGGCGGGCGGCCATCGAAAGAGGTGCGCCTGGAACTCACTCTACTCCGGGGCGTCCACTCCCGAAGCACCTTGTATCCGGAGGACTCCCACATCTTGCTCCTCTCCAAGACGTCTGGGTCGTCATCGGTCGCGTCCGCGCCGCTCTCCTCCCTGAGCAAAACCCTGATGGGCTTTGTGCTCCTGGGGTGGAAGGAGATGCTGATGTCGTAATCTCCTTCCAGGCTGAGACCGAGGAAGCTGCAAGCGGAGGATGCGTCCACGAAGCGCACGTCGAGCACAGAGACGTCATCGTCCCGAAAAGTTACGGGCTCGCTTGGGTCATGGGCGGCGGCGGCTTCTTTCAGGTCCGCCGTGTAGTCGCCATCCCTGCTCCACATGAGAAAGCACTGTGCCTCGTAAGCGTCTCTCAGGGAAGGGGGCAAGTCACCCCTCAGCCGCCCCTCTACTATATGGTCGATCGCGAAGCCGTCGCCACCATTGGCAGCGTTCAAGAGCTTATCCCATTCCTGTTGGGTCGTGTCCATCGACCGGTTATATCCCACTTCAGAAATAAGTTGCGGCCTCAGCTCGTCCGACCGGAAAGTCCGCGAACGGGCGTCACCATATTTTTTCGTATACTTGCATCAAGGCGGATGGCTTCGAGCAGCGTGCTCGCGTTCCGCGCGCATGTCATGAGCGGAGGAAGCACCATGGCTCCACCGCACGAGCCTCTGAATAAGTACAAGATAGGGCGATTCTGCGTGAAGGTCAGCACCAACATATTGGACTCTCGGGGCCAGTCTCGTTATTCATTCAAGGGGTACGGGCCCGACGAGAGTCAAATCAAAGCCAAAACTATAGCAGCTCGAGACAAGCGCTGCAGACCAGAAGACCGCGTGACGGAGCCTCTGGTCACTACGCTGCCCATCTGCGACGTATGCGACGACCGTATCGAAGTGTTTGATGTTTCGCAAGATTTTCACTATTACCTCATGTAGCCATCCAAACCAAATCCAAGACTCCATCTGCTTTTCTATTGTTTCAAAACGACCCTCGCGCCTTTTCCTCTAGACCGTGGTCGCGAAAGCGTCCTTGATGAGCTCCTCGGCCCCGTCTTTGGGATAGGTCCAGACGTTGAAAGTCTGTCCCGCCCCGACCTCGTTCGTTCCCAAGTACGCCTGCGAGAACCTGATGCGATGGCGCGCCAGCATGTCCGGCGTGATCGCATGAACCGCCTCCTTGCGCACGATCGCGTCCTCCTTGTACGTGCGCTCCCACTCGTTCTGACCGTTCTGGTCGAGACTCCCGTTTCCGGAGATGCTCATCCAGCGCTTTCCCACGGCGAGACCGACCTTGGACAGGTGGCTCGAGACCAGACGGTCGGATTTGAGGCGCAGAACGTCCCTCCCGACCTCCAGCACCGTCACTCGCTGTGCCGTCGCCGCAGGTGCAGCGGGAGCCGGCAGAGCCGGAGGGCCGCCCTGGGAGCCGGAAGCGACGTCGCCGGTCAGTGCGCTCAGCTGCGCGATAGCCTGCGACGCGAAATTGTGGCGGGCAGCGTTGAGCATGCCCAGCAGTGCGGGGGGCGTGGGGAGACCAGCTGCGCTTCCCGCCAACAGGATCTCGATGATCTCGCCTTTCGCCTGAACGGTCTCCCTGCAGTCCTGCAGCTTGATGGCGCGCACGTTTTTCTTTCCCCTCTCGATCTCCTCATCCAGCTCGTTCTGCAGCTTCTGGCGCTTGAGGGCGCGCTGCACGTCGCAGTCGGGGTCGGCGGGCTCGGTCCCACGCTCCACCTCCACCGTCTGACCGAAGATCCTGAGCGGGTGGTCCTCCGGAAGACGCTCCTGCGCATCCCTGATGCTGCGGATCTCGCCGATCAGCGTCTCGTCCCCGCCCAGGTAACGAACCAAGGTGTCGGCGAACTTCTCACGGAACTTTCCGGCACGCGTCCCACCGAGGCGGTTGATGATGGTGACCACGCCCCGCGCATCCGTCACCGGAGTGTCGTTTTGGCCCTGCCCTGGGAACTTCGCGAAGTAGTTCCCAACGGTAACAGCTTCCTCTTCAAACCGTTTGGATAGGTCGTGCCAAGTTTTTCTGGAATTCAAAGCGCCCGTGACAGCCGCAATCAGGTCGATGATGCTGATCTTGGGTGGCACATCAGCCGTCTTCCTGATGCGAGCGCCTCGGAACTCCCCAAATAGTTCATGGTCGAGAACCAGGTCCGTCGGCTGGATGCTGACGACCGCACCGACGTCGTCGAGCGACGGCGTCTGTTTGACAACCTCAGCGGTGAACTCGACCACCGGACGTAAACCTAAGCCGACGTAGACGCCGGTGCTCTTTCGGTTCGGCCCGTACGCCCTAGTCGCGATTGTGTAGCCCGCCGCCTCCACGGCCTCGGAGAAACCCCTGGGAACGGGCTCTCCTCCCTGCCACGCCTGGAACGCATCTCTGAGCTCGCGGCGCGCGACGAGCAACCCCTTGCCGGCGTCGCACCGCGCCGAGACGAAAGCGCGAAGCTTGTCGGAGTCCATCCTGATTATGATATCTGAGGGGACTCCTTCTGCTTTCTTATAGTGGCGGCGTCAGACTTGTCGCCGAAAAGTCCCTCGAAGCAGCACAGAACCTGTGCGTATAGTCTTTATTTCTCCAGTGTAAGGGTCAATCTTTCAACTTTTGGGGTGTTGATGTTTTAGGGTCCAGAGGGCCAGTAGAGGGCCAGCGGAGGGGCGGCGGAGGGCCAGTTTGAGTGCCAGAAAGGGCCCGGTGGAGCTGCGCAAAGTCTATGCCAAGGTGCAACGGGGAGCGATATCTTCCTTCACGAGCACCAAGGGCGAGCAGAGCGCGCTTCGGCTCTGCGCAAAGTATATGCCAAGGTGTAACGGGGAGCGATATCTTCCTTTCTGTGCACTGAAGACGTTGAGCGCGCTTCGGCCTCTGCGCAAAGTCTATGCCAAAGTGTAACTGGAATGGGTATCTTCCTTCGCGAGCACCAAGGGCGAGCAGAGCGCGCTTCGGTTCTGCGCAAAGTCTATGCCAAGGTGTAGCGGGGAGCGATATCTTCCTTTCTATGCACTGACAACGTTGAGCGCGCTTCGGCTCTGCGCAAAGTCTATGCCAAAGTGTAATTGGAATGGGTATCTTCCTTCACGGGCACCACGAGGTGAACAGAGCGCGCTTCGGCTGTATGCAGAGGTGTAAAGAGTTCATGATACAAGAAGGCATGACATGGGTCATCGGATCTCAAACATGTATCCAAGTTCATAGAATCAACAGCTCTATCTTGAACAATCCTCAGTTCCGCCTACCTAAAAGACTGAGACATCTCATATCCGTCGTGGATGCCACGGATCTCTCCTATCAACCTCTCGTCCCCGCCTAGATAACGGACTAAAATGTCGGCAAATCTCATGCGAAACTTTGCAGCGCCGCTTCCACCCAGATTATTGATGATGGTGATCATACCGGAGGCGTCCGTCACCGGTGTATCGTTCTGACCGCGCCCAAAGAATCTTGCTGTTGATATGTTCAGGCGGGTCCCTTCGTCTTCAAATCGTCTCGATAGATCGGCCCAAGTTTTTCTGGCATTGACCGTCCCAGTGATGGCAGTGATAACATCAAGGATACTGATCTTTGGTGGCGCGTCATCAGTCCGTTTGATGGATGCGCCACGGAACTCTCCAAATAAAGAATTGAGTACCAGGTCCGTATGTCCCTGCGGAACGTTGACTACGTGTCCACGAGGCACACTGAAAACCTGTGGTCTTGGAAGGATCTGTTGTGTTTGTAGGCGGAGGCCAAGATAGACGCCAGTACTCTTTCTTTCCGGACCGTAAACTCTAAATGCTAGAGCGTAGCCTCCCTCCTCCATGGCTCCGGGCAGACCTTTTGGAACGCTCATCCCTCCATTCCAATCCATGAAAGCATCTCTGAGTTCGCGGCGCGACACGACCAAGCCCTCGCCGGTGACGCAGCGCGCCGAGATGAATTCTCGAAGCTTGTTCGGGTCCATCCTGTTTATGAGGGACTCTGAGAAGTATCCGTCGCATTTGTACGAGCCAGGCTGGACTTTTCGACGAAGTGTCTCATCGAAAAGAAGCAATCCAAGCTCTTTGAGTACAGTCCGTTTACACGTGGCGACGAACTGTTCGCAGCATTAATTTCGCCACACAAGGCATGAAATATTTCTGCTGGCGCGGGCGCCATCACCGAATATGCCGACGACAAGATGGCGGGACAGATGGCGCTCGCATCCATACTCATTCCGACGACGGGAAAAACCGTAGCAAGCTGCATTCTGCTGACGCTGTGGTACTTTACGGAGTTCGCATGCCTGGCGGTAGGGCTCTTCTACTCATCCAAATGGATGATCAAACATCGCACGGATCATCGTCAATTCGCCGAGGCGGTGTGCCTTTTCTTGTTCTTGTTGATACTCTTCGCCCTGGCGACCACCGGACTGGTTCTGAACATCAGAGCTCTGGCTCGACCTAAACCTGCCCCGACGTCCGCACTCAAGACCACTTGACCGACTCAATCTATCTCATGTCGAATCCAAGTCTGCTCGTTCACCGCGGCTCCCACTCGTTCCTATTCAGCAGATGCCACACCGA